GAGTTGTCACTATGTTCTCTGTGTACGGTGATATTAATCGCTTTCCCAAGAAGGTTTGCGAATGATGCCAGAGAACGGGCGTGAATCTGATTGACGCGCCGGACAGTGAGAAGGATGCTGCGGACAAGGCTATCTTGGTGGACATGATTTTGTTCGCCCTTGACAACCCTCCTCCATCGTCCGTTTTTAATTGCTCGCTTGTGATGGTCTGCGGTAGGTTTTGTGAAACGGGGATGTCGTGGCAATGGAGAAGGATATTCAAAAGGAGGAAGAGGTTGCAGAGTAAATAAGTCTTTGTCTTCCAAGGATGACGGCTGCGGCTAAGAAGATTCAGATTCCTCGGAGTCGTGGAATGTGGTTTGAGTTTTTGTGTGCTCTGGGATTTTCTCCCTCTCGCTCTCTGTTATTCTTGTCGTGTGGCGTGAGGCGGATTGTTTTTGCGCCGTCCCTTGTTTTTTCTTCCTCGCATTATTGTTTTGTTTTGAATCGCGTCGTCGGTGGTGGTTGACGCTATGCCGTTCACTGGTGTTGGTCTTTTCGGTGGTTAGATGCAGTGTGCACGCTAAGAAGTCTTTCTCCGAGCGGGGGTTGCGGCGGCTTCGTGTGTTTCTCTTTCGCTAGTGGTTTCGCGGTGGAAGCATCGAATCCTCTGTTTGCTGCTACTGTTCTATTGTTGCGCCGCCGACCACTGGTAATGGTCGACAAAATTTCTTTCTATTTTTTCCTCTCGTTGATGTTTCCGTGGCGGTGCGGCTTGACGTCGCTGCAAGTCCACCATCGTCTTCATTCCGGTGTACTTGTCGTCTTGTTTGCGTGAGAATTCAGTGGCGTCGTGGTGGTGTCGACGAAATACACTGGTTCTAGTGTTTTTTTTTTTCTTCTTCTTCTTCTCGCAGGAAACTTCCATAGTGCCGAGTTCCGCTGCTAGAGCTCCTATTCGTGTTGCTGCTCGGTCCTTTGTGAACTTGGTGTTGTTCTCTGGCAATATTGCAGCTGTTGTTGACGGCTGTTTGTATTCACTGTTGGAGCTGCGGCACCGTCGACGTGGACTGGTGGCCAAAGTTGTTCTGAGTTGTGGTGTTTTGTTAGGAGTGGATGATCCCCTTCTGTTGGGGCTTGCACAAATGCCTTGGGTTCTACAAATAGACGCTTAAGTTTTTAGTTATAAAATTAATTATTTTATTTTATTTTAAATAAGGTAAGAAAAAAAATTAATACCTTAAATTATCTAATCTATTTGAGGATTATTTTTTATGAATCGTGTTAATTTTAACATAATAAGCTTGCCTGGAGATTTTATAATATTAAACTAGTTGATCATGTGTTGTTGTCACTGAAAATATGCAAAAAATTAGTTAATTTTGTCCAAGGAATTACTCCTAAAGTTTAACCATGAAAAAGCAAAAATTGAGCTAAGTCATTCTAGGATGTACTAAAGTCAAATTTTGGAACCATATTCAATAGTATTGTATGCAATCATATTCACTTGTGTAGCATAGTATCATATCCATCAACAACCTTCAATACAACCATCTCCATTTACAAAAAAAAAAAAAAACAAAACAAAACAAAACAAAAATAAACAATGTTGAGGTAATACAATTTCCAACTCTCATCTTTGATGTTGCAAAAAAATAATAAAATTAGTTCATATACACACAAAAAGTATAGACAACATAATTTAAATTTCATTTGAAAGGCAAGTCTACACCATCAATAATTCGACAAAAACATCAAATGGTTTGAAGTCTTACGTTGAGCATTATCTAAAATATATTTGCTCCTCCATGGATGATACAAACATATAAATCTTAAAATCCTCTACATGTAAGAAATGTCTAGATATTTTAAGAATAATTTATGTGCATCAACTAGTCACTACAACAACCTATAGAAAAATTAGATATATATAATAAATATTGCTAATGCACTCTCATAGTGATTTTGACAACATAAAAATAATTGGGTAAAAATGTGATAATATACATGGACTGCTTGTTAGTAATCCACTTCAATTTATATTTCTTGATATCATGCATTTGTGCACAAACTTTTGATACAATCAACAAACTAATAAGACATGAATAAAAATAAAAAAAAAAATAGAAAAGGATGCTCTATGTTGCTAAAAAAAAAATTGGAAGTTGTACAAGCATTAAGGTGCCTCATCACCAACACCATCAAGCTATTTGTATTATTAACAACTCCAACTGCATCAATATGCACATTAGAATTTATTAGGTTAAGATACCTTTGTTATATTTTATGTAAGGTATAATACTTATATTAAACATCAAGAAAAAAAAATTAAAAATAAAAAGTTCAAAATAGAAAAAGACTTAGAATGGCTATTGCTATATATAAAGAAATTATCAAATCTTAAATTAAAACATGAATATAAGAAATGCATTAATAAGATTGAAGATAGCATGATTCTTATCTACAGATATATTAGCTACCAAAAAGGCCTTATAGAAGCTTGTCAAATATTATAAAACTTGAAGTATGAGTGTCAAGTTTGGCTTTGTAAAAGTAAGAAACTTATAGGACAAGATTCAATAACTATGTGACATGTCTGTAAGAATCTAAAACTCTAATTTATGTTTAGAAAATTTCTTTAGATTAAATTAAATTAAGTGTATTTTTTAATGTATTATATTTAATGTGAACTTAGAATAATATATAACAAGTATGATTATTGGTTTTACATAAAGTGGTATTTGGTTAAGAGAAATTCTTTGGGACAAGGAAAAGCTTTTTTCTCACATAGACATTTCTCATAACCAAACACTACACCATTCTCCACGTCTTTGGAAGTTTATTATCAATAAAGCTCAAGAAGCTATAGTGTGTTATTGTTGATAGTGGCATTGCCTATTTTAAGCTCAAAGTTGCAATTTTATTTTTATTTTGTACAATGGCAATATTTACTCCAATACAACTCCTAACTTTTGCTCAAGCATCATCTTGCAATCTTTTCAAATATTAGTATGGGCTTCTAAGTACAAGCTTGGCCCACTAGTGATTGAGAACAATGGCATTTGCATAGAGGAGCAAAAAGTTGTTATTAATGAGATGTGTTATGCATTGTATTGATTGAAGTAGTACTTATTCATAATGGAGTATTGACCCTAACTAGACTTTTCTCTTACTAATTCATGAAAAACATGGATAAGCACAAAAAAAAATGAGACAATGCTCTTATCCATTTTTTTCTCCTAAGTATTTTTCTTCTAAGCAGATACCAATGTATATGGTTTTCATTTTATTAATAATTGCAATAATTTTAAATTTTTCTTAAAATTAGAACTTTGCAGATATTATTGAAGTTGTAGACAAAGGTCTCAATTGGGTCTTAATTTTTAAGGCTTGTAATTTAGTACATCAACATACTTATTGTAATTGTAGTATATTCTAAAAAGACATGTAGTATAGATTTTATTATTATTTCAAAATTACCAAGATAAACAAAATTAAAATTATTGAATATATATTAAAAAAATTAAAGTATATTATTATTTAATTATTTTTTGACTTGATTGTCTATTTTCATAATTAATTAGAATAAATGGTTGAAAAAAGAAGATAGAAATATAATATAATATTGAAAACTATATAACTCCTTCAAAAAAGTCTAATATTCTTTCAAACCTACTTTAGACTAGAACTATCAATGGACAAAAATAGCTCAAATATAATACATATTAAAAAAATATTAAATTCTTTATATTACATAATTTTAAATTATTCCTTATATATCATGTACTTCTATTATTGCCAAGCAGTATGATCTTCTTTGATGGCATTGTTTTTAGTTATATACTATTGAAAGCTCCTAATAGGAATAGATTGCATATTTTTTATATAGTAAGAATAATAGTAAATAAAGAAATATATTTACAAGGATCTTTGGTAAAATCAAGATATAATTGCCAATGTTATAAACTAATTTAAATAATTTTAAGCCTCTTTTTTAAACATGTTAGAATAATATTTATAATTCTATTAAATTAATCATGAATATTTCATACAAATTTAATGCATTATCTTTGGTATTCTAAAATTTTTGATAAATTATATATATATATATATATATATATATATATTTATTTATAAATATCTAATAATAATTAATTAGAATAAGAAGACCAATTAAAAACTTCCAATAAATAATAAGAAGTTAATGTTTTTATTTTAAAAGATTATTTATTTAATATATTATATTATTTTATATAGTCTTATCTACTCACAATTATTACTCTTAGTAAGTTCTTATTCTTATTTTGTTGTGATGTTATTTTTAAAAACAAATTTATTCAACAATTAATCTCTTTGAGATTTTATTGCTTGAATATATTACTTTCAAAATAAATCAAGAGATTCTAATGCTATAATATTCATATATATATATATATATATATATATATACATATATTATAAGAATTAACCAAAAGTACCATATCTAAAAAAGTTAGTAAGTATTCTATTAAATTAGGTGACATTAAATGTTTAAACTTTAAAATTTTGGTTTATCTTAGAATATTTCACATCTTCTTAAAAGCTTCTTTAAAAGCTTCTACAGGTTTATTTTAAAATATTCTTAAGATATTTAAAGATTAAAAATAATAAAAAGAAAAGAAAAGAAAAGAAAAACTCTATGATTTTTGGATGACAAACTTTTAGATTTGCAAAAGGATTTGCATTTAAAAGAAATTAAACCCATTCTATCTTTTAGTGATGATTAATCACGTTAATGTTTTGATTCATGATCCTTCTTTTGTCTTCTTGTGAACCATCCGAGCATCTTAAGTAGTCTCAACATTCTTAAATATTGCTTCTCAACATTGCAGGCAAAGGTCCGGAGAAAGGAATCCAATTCAAACAAAGCCGTAAGGGAAAAAAGAAAAAGAAAAAGAGAAAAGTAAATGAGAACACAAAACAGAAAGTAAAAGTAAAAGTAGAAGAAAGGATCGCAGTTTCGGAAGGGAGGGCAGAGGGAAGCGCGGCGCGCGAGAGGAGGCGCCTCCGACAACACGCAGCGAAGGAAGTAAGGAAATGGAATGCAACGAAACTGGGAAAGGCACGCCGCGAAGAATCGATCAGCTTCGCAGCCACTTACTCACTCAGCCATTGCATTGCAAGCTCTTCTCCACCAATCTCCTGGACTACTCACTCCATTCAACGGTACCCTCCTTCAGTTTTCGTCTCCCACCCCAGTGCTTCGGTCATATCTTGCGCTGGGAAGCGCATGAATCGGCAATTTTTTTTTCCTGCAGTGAGAATCTACTGCGCAGGAGATTACCCGGCGAGGGGGTGGAAGGGCAGAAGGGCGAACTACCAGGACATTCTTGGAGTCAAGCAGCCGCCAGCATTGTGAGTTTTGAGTGAGAGCTGTGGTGGGTCATTAGCATGGCGCGTATACCTCGCCACCTCACGCTGAAGTTGCTCCGCCGCTCATTGCTTGCGCCTGCTCGCCCCGCTGCTGCCTTCCCTGTACGTGCGAATTCGTGGGTTGCAAGTGGAACTGGGTTTTTCCGTGCAGGGCATTTGGAATTAGGGTTTTTGGGTCGCGCTGCAGGGATGGTGTGTTTTGGACCTGGGCAAGAGTGTTGTCGCTGAGAGGAAGAGAGGGCACGGTTTGAGTTCCATGGATTTTTTGATGGTTGTGTTCGTGTGATTCGTGTCGTTTAGGAAATTTAAGGTGTGGCAATTTTGTTCAAAAGCTTGAAACTACATCATTACATTATCATTCCCGATTGTAGGGTGCTGGTTTTGGTGTGCTGCTGGTTCATTTTTCTGAACGATTTGGCCAGAAGGCTTCAAATTCGTTGAGTTTTCATCTGGAATTTTGGCGATTGTGCATAATTGAAGTAGTTTTCGAGGTATTTGCGCGTTATTCTGTTTGCAGTAGGATTTGTGCACAAGGTACGAGTTGCACTGCAGAGTGGTTGTGCTTTTGATCCATTCGCGGTATTTTTTGGGTGAGGCCTTTAATCTAATACCTGGTCTGTGCAGGAAGAGTTGCGCAATGAATCGTCATTTAATTTTTTGACGAGGGAAGCTCATTTTCTCTCTCGAGATCAATTTTTTCGTGCCGGAGCAGGTGCGCTGCATGGACATTCAGGTGCAGATTTTTTTAAGATTATTATTGCGTGTTCATGAGTGCGTGTGTAGCTGGCACTTCTCGCTTGAGTTTATCGCAGTAGTTGATAGGACTTCAACATGACAGAGGATCTTAAAATTTTTGACTGGTAGTGGCCATTGTTTTACCAGCTGAATATTATTGATGCTCTCGAGCTCGTGGAGTTCAGTATTTTCGTGTAACGTTTCATAGAAATGTTATCATAATCAATCCTGTGAAAATATGTCGCGTCAGTATCTTCGTACAATACAAACCATTATTCTGATTTTAATTTTTAAATATTTTTTTGTAATAAGAAATAGCGTTACGTGCAATCAAAATTCCAGGGTTTGGAGCTGGAAGTGGATCTTAGAATTAAGTCATTGCTATATTGATTTCTCAGGTGGTTGCAATCATTCCTATGGTGTCCGGATCGGTGACGAATGGCTTCAGACGACTGGCAGGCGAGGCTTTCATGCAACAGGTATAACACTGGAATTAAATTACAGTAAGGTGTCCTCTTCAGATTCTCTCATGGATTTATCCCCTCCGTAGGATCTATTGACTTCTTTTCGTTCACTGTGTTTTGGGTCAAAAAGTGCACTTCAACAACTATTATTTTACGACATCAGAATCTAACTGTAGTAATGCATAGTTTACTATTTATGCAAATATACGTGTTTGAGGGCTGCAGGTGTTCAACATATGGCTCGGCAGAACTTTTATGAAACATTAGGGTTGCAAAGAGGTGCAAATCCGAAGGAGATCAAATCTGCGTATTATGAGGTACCTATCCTTAACAGGACGCTAGTAATAGTTACTGCCATAATCCTTCCTGGTGCGGAATGGGTGATATCTTTTTAATTTGAAGTAGATAAACCAGGACCTTTCCATATACTCGTATTCTTTTTGAAAGGAAGATCTCCTTTCTTGACTATAATTTGCAAGTATTTAAATGTTTGTTGTATTTGAATTTTCTTTGCTGCAGTTGGCAAAACGGTGGCATCCAGATGTGAACAAAGGAAATGCTGAAGCGGAGAGGAAATTTCAAGAAATACAACAAGCATACGAGGTTTCAACTTTGTTGTCATGTATTTAGTGAGCAGATTTGACATGAAACGTGTATGACATCGTGGATACAGGGACTTCTTAGTTGACGCAGTACGTGATGAAATAAAATTTTAGTGGGAAAAAAGATCCTGATCTAGACTTGCAATTTGTTTCAGTCACATTCTAGGTAAGATTGATTTTACATTCGTTTAGACTTCTGTGCGTACTCTCCTTGAAAAATCTCATTTAACTGATGCAGTATTTCTTGCAACTTTGTAGGTTTTGAAGGATGATGAGAAACGAGCCATGTATGATCAAGTGAGTTTTCTTTTTCATTTTCATCTTTTCATAACTGGGAATCTGTACATTATAATTTTGTTGGATTCAGTCTTGCTGGGATTGTTCATATAGTTAACTCAAATACTTACTTTCAAATATTTGTTCTTCGGTATTGTTGTTTCCACATTTCATGTTCTGGCCATTGACTCGAATCTCATCCATACTAGTTTGGTACTCACTCTCTGCTCTTGAGTATCTTTTGAGTCTCGCCCTCTGCTACCTCAGGTTGGGCACGATGCATTTGAGCAAGCAGCTGCGGGGGGTGCTCCCGGTGGGGGTGCCGGATTTGGAGGGTTCGATGAAACCATCTTTGGTGATGCTTTTGGCGGAGGCATGGACGAGGTAATGTTGCAGCTGATTCGTGTATTTACCTAGTAGTAAGCGATGCCTTTACCCGGAAGTACAGCGTGTTTTGTTGTATGCAAGCTCAGTGTTCCATTTTCTTACTGATTCATATAATGTGATCATTGGATGTTGCCCGTGGACAGATGTTTAATGGAATATTTGGAGGAGGCAGGGAGAGTCGACCTCATGTACAGGTTAGCGTTCTGCTTTTCTATATAGTTGAGACAAAAGTGACTTGAAGCACCATTCCCGCTATGTGCTATTACTAACATGATCTTCTTTGTTCGTGATACGTTAGTGTTGTTCATTTTCGAAAACGAAATTTGACATCGCTGACAGTGGTTTTTTCTTGGTCCTGTCAGGTTCAGTTGGATCTGACTTTCCGAGAGGCTGTCCAAGGTTGTTCGAAAGCGGTGAATTTTCAGACAACTGTGCGATGTCAACCATGCAGTAAGTCACTGTGATTTTTCTTACTTGAACTCTAAGTTGTTCTGTCGTTTTCCTGTCCTTGTTGTTGCTGCTTCCACATCTGAAGTCCCAATTTAGTCGTTACCTTTGTTATGAAAAGTGTAATAATTCTGTTTACACATGACTCAACATGGACTGCTTACTTTCTGCCAATGACTAAATGTTACCTCCTTGCCGGATTAAGATACTTGCTGTTAGTTGATGTATTGGTACTTCATTTAACACTACGTCAGCCCTGAATGTACATGGTTGTGTCTTTCTCGAGAGTTCTGACGATCTTGTATATAACATAACCTCTGGTTTTATTCTTTGATTGGGTCACGGTTTCTGCAGGTGGAAGTGGTTTGCCCCCAGGAGTGAAACCCCAGACATGTAAAACTTGCAGAGGGCGTGGCAGAGTGAGTTCCTGTGAAATGCATATTCAAGTATCTGTGTCGCATGTACTCTTGTTAGAAAGCTTTTACGAAATCTACGCCATGCTATAATTGTAACGTTGTTTTGAATGAACTGAGGAGTAGGTTATCATTACCAAAGAGTGTTGGAAGTTCCTCTGATCAGACGTGTTGTTTCGGACGCTGCTTTTACAGAGGGATCATTGTCCTTACCTTACATGTGCAGGTTGTGATGCAGCAAGCCTTCTTCGCCTTTGAATCAACTTGCTCAAAATGTGGTGGTTCTGGTCAGATGGTCAAGGTACTAACTGTATAACAGTTAATATATTGCTTGTTAAAAATAATTCTAATGAGGTTTTTACAGGTCATCTTTACTATCTTTTCGGATGAATTAGGTGTACAGAACTAACGTTCATTTTGAGCCAGGTGGTATTTCTTGTTACTGTATATGTATTGGTCGTATCTTGTTGAATTGGGTACCTTGTGTAGGATCATTGTCGTAACTGCGATGGGGCCGGAGTTGTCAAGGGACACAGAGAAGTCAGAGTAGATATTCCTGCGGGTAAGCTCATTATAAACACTCTTAGTTTAGCCTGATTTTATTTATTATAGAGAATAATCTGGATCTTTCAAAGACTAACCTATGTAGTTATTTGAGTATGGCAAAGTGATTTAGTAGTCTACGTCGTAGGTTGCTTTCGTTTTCATCTCTATCCTATTCAGTGATACGATGAAAATTTGGCGTAACTTTGGTACGGTAATTGTCTTGGGTATCAGGAGTGGAAAGTGGCACAACTTTGAAAGTGCATGGGGAGGGTGGAGAGGGACCCAAAGGTGGCCGACCTGGGAATCTTATGTTGCAAATTAGAGTAAGCATCGAGTACTTTTTCTTTTACTTTTTTTTATCTTCTATGTGAAACGAGTTTGACAGAATGAAGAGTTTAAATATAGCCCCTGAAGCGTCGTCTCTAAAGACAGTTAATAAATCACTTTGATCTTGCGAAGGTACAACCTGACAAGGTGTTCAGAAGAGAAGGAGCAAACCTTTATGTGGATGTTCCAATTTCTTTCACTCATGCTATCTTGGGTGGTTCAGTTCAAGTCCCTACGTTGACTGGCGATGTGTTACTTAAGGTTAGCTGTCTTTACCCTCTGTTTTTTCCTAATTTTTATTGGTACTGGGAATTTTCATTTTCATTTCTTTATTTTCATCATGTTCCTGTCGTATTGTACATAGGCTGATGTGCAAAAGATTGAACGAAGTTTGAGTCTGCAGTTTGGTAAATTTCTTCAGCATCTCATTCATGCTAGTTGTGGTTCTCGTTTTGCAGATTCGGCCAGGTACACAGCCAGGACACAAGCAAGTTATGAGGGGCAAAGGTATCCTGTGCTAGTGCTGGATGATGAATTCTGATTAATATTGGTGTAATTTACTGGTAAAAGTTTTGTCTGTTTCTGTTATCTACTGCTATTTGGGGATGTGATAGATTTTCTTGGCAGTTTCCTGTTAGACTGACCTCTGCATATTTTGGGCAGGTGTAAAAGTTTTGAATTCGAGACACTATGGTGACCAATACGTGCTAATTAACGTGACTATACCTACGTATGTAATTCAACCCTCAGTTTCAATTGCTGATCGCATGCTCTTAATTATTGTTCGGTTTCCTTTCTACTAATTATTTGTGGCGAAAACTGATTTTGAGGGTTGGCTGAATCTAAAACAGAAATATCACACAGAGGCAACGACAACTTATTGAAGAGTTTTCTGGGGAAGAATATGCAGAGCCTGAGCCAGCTGTTGCTGAAGGCAGTGGATGACGCCAGGTCTTTTCAAGACTTTTCTGGTGGTTTAAACCAGATTAGATGTTGGGTAAAAATGCTTTGTATGGTTTCGAAGCCGAGAGAAGCTCTTCGCGGACCGTTGCTTCTCCGTGAAGTTGTCGTGGTGAGTGCTACTCCGAGGAAATAATATTTCTCTTTCTCTATCCTTCCTTTTTCTCCTCTTTTTTATTATTATTATTATTATTATTATTATATATATATATATATTTTTTGGGGGGGGGGAGGGGTGTGTGTGTGTGTGTGTTAGTTGGTTTTGATGTGTGCATCAAGTTTTAGTAGTTGAGTTTCTAATAATTTTTTAATTTTGAACCAACGCTACAGTAGAAAGCTGAACGAGGTCATAAGGAGTTGCTGAAATTTTACGAAACTGTTTTCTAGTTGTGGGCCGAAGTGCCCTGAGGATTTAACGTTTCTGTCGTAGTGTCTATCAAGTAATCGTCTGGGTTGTGTTCTGTGTTGCCAGTGTTTGAAGCAGTTTTCTTTTGGAGCTGATGCTTGTTGCATTTCTACAAGCACTCAGCAACTCTGGCTCTTATCGGAGAGTTTTTGAAAGTTTGAGGAGACATAGATCACATCTATTTTTGATCTCTATGCAGGTAAATAGTGGACATTATTCACATTATTCAAGATAGGGATATTGTAGCAAAGGCGGCAACTTTAAGTGGATGTTTAGTCACCTCTTCAATTCTTGGGGTGCTAAGCATGAGGTTGAAAACTAGAACAGCCTACTGGAGAATTAGGTGCAGTGATTATAGGTGGGAAAGTTCCAAATTACAATGAAGTTCGATGTCTGCTCAATATGGTTTGACTTTGAATACCAGCATATTTGATTGCTTTTGCTAACATTCTTCACGGGTCCTAGAGCTGTTCTGCGAACTGGTTATTACGAAAGTGTCTGATAGTTGAGCAGACGAATACTCGTTCATGTTTCATTGAGCCATTGCTTGGATAGTGGTTTTGTATCGATCTCCAGGCCTGTCGCAATGTACAGATACCTGTGATGACGATCTCTCCGCTCTGTTACGCTCTTGCACAATCTGATCTTAAATCTCGAGTCATTCTTCGTTCCTCGTCAAAGTAGCAGTTGCAGCAGCATGTGCAATAGCATGCCACTTACTCTGCCAGGGAATTCAGTACCATGTCATCACCAGAAGCAAAGGTCAAGGTTCTTTTAAAGGTGTTTTAACAAGGTGGTCTATTCTATGAAATGATGACATGACATAATGCACATGGCATAAATTAATATTGTGGTTGAAATTTTAAGACTCAAAGTTTAAGTGTATTACTTTTTTCCACTTGGCATTTATAAATCTAAATTGTATACACCACTAAAAAAAAGAAGTAAGTGAAGAAGATGTGTAGATGTGGGGAAGAAGTTAACTTGAGTGACTATGACTAAATTCAAAGAAACTTGAGAAACTTGAATTGAAATATGAATATGAGAAAAATCTTAATAAGATTGAAGATGATTCTAATCTTACTTTCATATATACTAGCTAACAATAAAGTAATGTGAAAGGTTCTTAAGAACAACAAAGATTATATATTAAACATCCTAATTGTGAGATGCTTTTATGTTAATTTTTTAAAGATAGGAAACTTCTTCAAAAAGTTTTTGTAGCTATGTAACATATTTAAAAGAATATATATATATATATATATATATATTTAAAGAAGCTGTTTCTAAGATAATATGTAAGAAATTTGAACCTATTTCTATTTCATGTTATTTACATCTATTTACTTAGATAACAAATATATTTATAATATTACTTCTAATCTTAAAGACAAGTTTTACAGAGAGAGATTAAGTTGTTATATAAGTTGATATAGATCAAGATTCAAAAATAATCTTTGTTACAAACTGTAATCTTTGCTTTGCACTACATTAGATAATTTGTCTTTTAAGCCAATTATAAATTCTTATACTTAGACAAGAAGATTACTATATTGTTTTATCTTCATTGGTGCATTCATAACCACAAATGATACATTTGAAATACCATTAAGTACAACTTCCACTTCTAATTATATTACCAACCACAAAGATTCTATTTAATGGTTCTAATACTATATTTATTGTCTCTTACCATCTATTTTTTTAAAATTAAAAGTCTTAAGTAACAATCTTCATGTTGATTTTGAACTACAAACATTGAAACAATTAACTATTTCAATGTTCAAGTGCGGTAGATGGATCGGTTCGATACACCTTCGGCAGTCGGAAATCCGTCATCTCCATCATCCACAGACACGTTTGCCCTCAGAAACGCTCCAAATCAACTGAATTAATACTCGAGCTTCACGTGATCCTGGCCGAGAATGTCATACTTCAATTTGGAATCTCCGTGGTGGATAACACGAGGAGGAGTCCAGGGCTCGAGCTGCTGGGGTTTTTTCTGGACCTTCTGCTTGATCCAGTTGATCCCACTTGCGGTACCGGCCTTGACATTGTTGGCGCGCGAGGAAACCGCCTACTTCGTCTCATCCACGCCTGCACTTGCGGCGCTCTTTTTCTTCTCCAGCTTCTCCTTGCCACCGGCCCCAGTCGCCTTGTTCCCATCCTCATTCCGATACTTGTCATTCTACTTGTCATTGCCCTTGCATCATTGTGTCCCCATGCCTCCGCCCAGTCAAGCAAGACAGACTTGAAAGCGCTGCTTAATTTTAAAGCAAGCATCACCAACTTCTCCCCAGAGATGTTCCCCGACTAGAACCCCTCGGCGTCCTCTCCATGCTCGTGGGTAGGAATCACTTGGAACAGTCTCGGTCAAGTCACGAATGTTTCCCTGTGTGAAATCGGATTCAAAAGCACCATCTTTGTCCGAAATCGGCAAATTGGTCAATCTGGAGAGCTTGCAATTTCAGCGGGCTTATTCCGGGGGAGCTTTTGAAATACATTGCTAAACATTCTCAACAGGTTATCACGATTCTCTTCTACACACTATCATAATTTTTTTTGCTCTAGTCTTTGACTCTTTGCTACCCTTGCTTAGTGTCTGGGTCAGGATCGGGTCAGGATCTTGTTCTTCTTGCTGCTTGTTTAGAGCACTTGTTCCACTCTCTGCTTTGCTTGCTCTGAATACTTGATCCAGCCCAACTCCACCCTCTGCTTGCTCCCTGCTCCGCCAAACAGACGCCGAACTGCCGCCGAGCAGACGCCGAACAGACGCCGAATTCGCCGCTGCCGCCCGTCGCCGTCGCCGCTCTAACGCCGCCGCCGTCGCTGCCGCCCACCATTGCCCGCCGTTACCAGCCGCCGCTGCCCGCCGCTGCCGCCCTACCGCTACCTGCTGCCGCCATTTTATTGCTGTTCTGCTGCTTTAATCTACAACTCTTTCTCCTTCAAATATATATATATATATATATATTTATATATATATATATATATTTTAGTTTTTTTCAAGTTCAAGTTTATCATTTTATTTGACTTTATATTTTAAGGTACGTTTTACTCAACTTTTCTACTTGATCTTGTATTTTTTTTATAGATTTATTTATAATGAGTGCTTCAACATCTTCAACTGCTTCTACTATGGTTCCTACTATTATCAGTGCATCCCAACATTTTCAAGCTCTTTTATTTCCACCATTGATTGTGGATGGAAACAATTATCTATTATGGGCAAAAATGGCAAAAACAAATTTATTTGCAGAACAACTCTCGGATGCCATTATGTTTGAAGAATCTCCTACAACAAATATTTCTATATCTCTTGCTATTCGTTGGAAAGCACTTCTTCTCCTTCGTCGTCATCTTGTACCTGCATTACAACATCAATATTTGGAAATGGAAGATCTTATAGAACTTTGGAAGAATCCTAAATCTAAGTTCGATCATCAAAAGATCATTTTTCTTCCACGTGCACGTCATAATTGGACACATTTACGTGTCTTGGATTTTCCAAACTTAAATGCTTTCAATAGTGAAATGTATAGTATTGTCTCACAATTACGATTATAAAGACAAAGCATATCCGAAGAAGAAATGATTGAGAAAACTCTCTCTACATTTCCTCTTGCATTTGCTGTACTTGCACAACAACACAGGAACATGAAATTTCAGAGTCATTCTAATCTCATGTCCTATCTACTTCTTGTGGAGAAGCAAAATGAATTACTCTTGCGCAATGCAGAAGCTCGTCCTATTGGAACTACAGTTCCTGAATCTCATGCACTTAATATTTCAAAGTTTAAGAAGAAATTATATAAACATGGGAAACGTGCTTATAAGTATCAAGGTAGTCATAGTCAAGACCATTTCTATCCATATGGAAAGAATAAACGTTTTACTATTAATTATAGTAGAAAATAAAAATCAGAGATGCGTTCTTACCATAAGTGTGGAATGATTGGACATTTAGCACATGTGTGCCGTATTTCAAAATATTTTATTAAAATATTCCAAGAAAATAAGAAATTACGAGCTGAGGTTCGTGAAGTTCATACCATGGATGCGTCCATGGATTCAATTGGTGTTGATGACTTAGAGGCTTATATGACTGATAGAACCTCTAATGATGAATCAAATGATGCGCTCATTGATTCTGCAACAACACATACTATCTTGCGAGATAGACGATTTTTTATTGAAAAATCTTCAACTTGACAAACTAAAAATATGATGACTATGGCTGGAGCAAATGCGTTTTGTTTCCAAGAGGGCACAGTGATGGTAAAATTACCTGCGGGTTCCATCATAAAATGTAAACATGGGATGTTTGCACCCTCAACACCTCGAAGTCTGATCACCTACCGAGATGTACGTATTAATGGTTATCACCTCTCGACCGTCACTTTAAATAGAAAAGAAGTTTTGGTCCTTGCAAAGAATCATGAAATTGTTGAAAAAGCTTTTGCTACAGAAAATGGTTTATACCGAATTGCAATTCGGCCTCCCATTATATTTAATTTTGCATCATCTATCTCAGAGAGTCGTGTTTCTCTCTGGCATGGACGATTGGGACATCCAAGATCCACATTATTTAGAAAGATCATTCGATGTATAACTGGGCACAATTTAAAGCCTGTAGATGTAGACTCTATGGAATTATGTCGTGCATGTGTCCAAGGTAAAATGATTACTCGACCTTCAATTTGGAAACTTCCACAAGAATTACCACCAATGCTTGAAAGATTGCATGGTGATATTTGTGGTCCTATTAATCCAATATCAGGACCATTTCGTTATTTTTTGGTCCTTGTTGATACATCAGGTAAACAATCATATGTTTCATTATTATCAACTCGAAACATGGTGTTTGCCAATCTTATATCTATGCTTATTCGCTTTCGGGCACATTTTCCTGATTATCCTATAAAAACATTGTATATGGATAATGCAAAAGAATTTGCATCAAAGTCTTTTGAAGACTATTGTACTGCAACAGGAATCGAATTGACATATTGTGTTCCATATGAACATGCTCAAAATGGACTTGCAGATTCATTTATAAAGCGTATACAACTCATTATGCGGCCACTCCTCCTTCACGCAAATCTACCTTCATCTATGTGGGGTCATGCAGTTTTACATGTTGTAGCATTAATATGCCTCCGCCCTTCTTCTCTTGAAACTATTTCACCACATGAGCTCATTTCGGGTCATGTTCCAAATGTATCTCACTTACAAGTATTTGGTTGCCGTACTTGGATTCCAATACCAAAACCTCAATGGCGTACCATTGGAGCTCATCGACAAGAAGACATATATGTTGGTTTTGATTCACCAAGCATTATTCGTATTGTTGATCCATCAACTGGCACATTATTACGTGCACGTTTGTAAAATTGCCGTTTTGAAGAAACTGTATTCCCATCTCTTCAAGGAAGAGTATCCAATCAA